GGGAATCACGGAAACTACCCAAGCGGCCACACAAATCAAAAGCCAGCAAAGGCTATCTGTATTCGGACATTTCATCTATCTAGCAATGAGTGAAGAAGGAGAAGAAGAAGAATAAGAAGAAATCAAAAAAAGGAAGACTTAACAGGAGACCATCTACCATCCCAAATTGCTTCCTAATCTGCTTCCGATGCACCAGCAACCCCTTGCGCACGGGAAGATTCCACTGAAGTTTACACCATCCCTCAAGCATTGCCAACTGAACAACCCTTTCTGACTCCGTGCCCGTTTCTTTTGAAAATAACATAGGTTGAAATGGTCCACCTCTCTGTTTTGGTGTGAACTTCCACAGAAATGCCCCCAATCCCATCCCATCCCATCCCATCCCAATCCCATGCAACTCATCGCGCCGCCCCACCGACACCTCGCACCGAGGTGGGCCACCCCGCGGGCCCCGCGACCCTCCGCCTCGCCACGGAGTGTGACGTGGTGACGCCCGGAGTGTGACGTGGCCTCGTGGGGCGACGAAAGGCGTCGCGGAGGAGATGAAAGGCGTCGCGAAGAGATCTTGAAAAAGACCGTTGAAAAGGTGGCGTGAATCACGTGAGGGTCATGAGGTCATCATCCTACCATGGAAAGAGGCCTCTGGCTGAATGGTCGTTCACCACGTGTGAAAAAATCCCAGGGATTCTCGGTCAGAGTGCGTCTGTTCACCTTCAGCCATGCGACCGTAACTGGCGTGGTGGATCGGTCGACGGCGCTTCCCCAAAGAACCTCGTTCATCGATGAGTTTGGAGCCACCAGTGTGTGCCCCCAGCTGGTTGGAACGGATCCAGTTCCAGATCCAGTGGTGGTAGCTGTCTCAGGGGTGGGGGGCAGCAGGGGGCGGTGGAGTTCCAGTTCCAGTTCCTGATCCACACTATGGGAGCCACACAACCTTGCTCGTGGTCGTGTCGTATAATTCTGAACTAGGAGCAAGCAATCACTCCGGAACCACCAGCTGCTTCCAAGCCCCTCAAAAGCCAGTTAGGCAGCGCAAAAACTCTGGGATGAGTTGAAATCTTGACATCATGATGCCAAGGAACACAAAAGCTTGTCTACTAGGAGCACTTGAATCTTGATGCAATTCGGGGGAGTCACTATAAGTAAAGAAGTTCCATCTCCCGGTTCGCAACATTTCGCCCAGTGAAGGCGGGAAAATGTCACCTTCCTCCGTCTAGTTGGGCATCCTCCCATGTTCAGAGCGAACTCTGCCATCACTTCACCTGCACATCACCGTCTCGCCGTCTGAAAAACGCCGTCTCACGCGGTCTAGACACGACACGTTTCAGGTCGCTCCAGCCCGCCCAAACAGCGGAGGGGCTGGCCTCTTTGAAAGACACGAAGCCTCGTGAAGCATGTGGCTGCTCCACCGTCTCCAGCCTTCGCACCATGGCCCAAGGAACCCACGGGTCACACCCCCGTCATGAATGGCAAACCAGGAGAGGAAGCCGGAGGAGCGACGGCCGGTTCTTGGCCGGGCGCTGAAACATCAAAACGAAAAAGAACATCACAACATGACTCAACCCAACACAACCCAACACACAACGTGCTCACCATTGCTTCAAAAGCACACCCCCCCCCCATCCATGCCGGATTCCACCGGTCTGAGCAAAGCACCCGGATTCCATAGACGGCGTTCCATAGACGGCTCGCCAAGAAGCGTTGACTTTTTAGACCAAGAAGATGGTAACCCCAACAAGTCTGGGGTTCACAGCATTTTGCTTGAACCATCTGCGAATCTGATGCGAATCTTTGAAAAACCGAGATGTCCAAACCGCAAAGCTTGTGACGCCAAACCCCAATTCGGCAGGTCGGCGTGTCGAGGTCGTCGCCGGGTGCTCGAGAGGCGGCCAGCCTTGGACAGGGCACGGAATTGGTAAATCTGTCCCAACCTCTAGGGCCCAGTGGATGATGAGAACCATTAGTAAAGACTGTTCTCCAAAATAGTGAGAATCTCTAACCTGCTGGGGCGCAACCTACAAAATCATTGGATTGGTTTCAGGGAAGATCTACAGGAAGGCGTGGTTTACACCCCGTCAAAACGATGGGTCTCCTGCACATGCCTCGAAAATATCTGGGAACAGAACTGGCACACTCTGTCAAACGAGCCTCGGTTGACCCACCTTGTTTAAAAGCAAAAGAATGGGCGACCAAACCATGTACGTCGCAATGGTTTTGAGGTACATGGTCCAAATCATGGTCCAAACTCGCTTCCGAAGACGCTTCGTCCGCAGCTTAGGGACCTGAACCGCCTCCCAGCTGGGGATCCGATTTTCTGCCTCTCAGTGTGGCGATGCCAAGGTGCTCTAAGACTTTTTGGACCTCTGCAGAGATCTGCTCCTGAGCGCGAAAAAGAGAAATGCTTCTCAAAAGTGAGGGCACAGTCGTTGCTGCACCATGAGATGCATGAATATCTCGGTCGATTCATGGTTCCCTACCTTTTGTTCAGTGTTCGACCACTGCTCAGTGTTCCACCAACTAACTACATAACACATCATAATAGTTTTTATACTTTAAATACTGAATGATCATAACAAAAAAAAAATCAACCAGGAAACACTTCAACCAGGTATGGTTTGTATACGGTCTCACCCGGCGAACGCCAGCCCACCATGTGAGCACCCTGGGGACGTCGGAACCCCTGGCAGGTCTCCCTAAGACTGAGCTACACAGCACTATGTGTGGTGAACACCGTGAACACCACTATCGTTTTGTATAATAGCTACTCCTCCCCCAGTAGCTTGCACACAAAACCCATCAAAACCCTCTGCCAGGGCCCTGTAAAAGTCGAAGAGGACTCCCTTTTTTCTCCAACGGGGTGACCCATTCGTAAGTTCGTGGTGCAGAAGCTTCTTCTGACAAAGCAGGTCTTTCTTCTCCAAAGGCGGATGGAGCGGGTCGTCATGCAACGAATGAACCAAGAGTCCATGCGCGTGGCCAGCTCCATGTAGCTGGCGTCCATGGCCATCTGCAGTTCTTCTTGCTGATGAATGCAGCGAATCATGTTGTACCTGGACCAGCACTCGGACCACGCTCAGTGAAGACGCAACCCCCCTATTCTGGGGCTCATGGGAGGCAATAGGAGGCAGTTGGTTTGATCTCTTCACTACAAGAAGTGTTTCTGTTTGTTTGATGAACATGGATGTTGATTAACAGGGGCCTTCACTACAATGAAGTGCTTTAGTCTTGACTACCCAGGGGGTGAAGAAACATCTGTCGGATGAAGACCACACGAACCCTTCCGTAACTTTTGGCGCCCATCGGCTCCACCACGAGGATGTCATCTGCGAAATCCGATCAAGACCCGGATTACATTGATATCGTTCAATTTTTTGCAAATAAATCAGGATCTGCGAGGATTACATGGTTATTTCATCATGAAAAATTTGTTGTGCCATTTCACGATACCATGATGTTCTTCATGGATACCAGTGATACCAGGACCATCTGTCTTGGTGTCCTGGCTGGAGATTCCGGACAGTCATAATGGGCCCGCTCGTCCAGCCAGGGCACCTAAACAGGATCCTCCTGCAACTACTAGTAACAAGGGCACTACTACTAGTAGCTAGAGGCTACTGGAAGCTACTAGTAGCAGGGGCATCGCTATTAGTAACAAGTGAAGTGCATCACCATTATGCATGTGGGAGTGTAGAGTCTCGCTGCTCCGTCCTTGCACACACAAAGCACTCTGGATGCGACAGGCGTGAGTTCCTTCTGCTAATCATTCATCCATCCCCACGTTGGCTCGCTCTCGGGGCAGGGTGCTTTGGTAGCTTTGCGGCTTTGATTTCTTGGCGATCCGCTGTGGATGTGATACACCCCGTCAGGGTGTACTTTATAATTAAAGGACGTCCAAGCAGATGTAATGGGGGCCAAGAGAAACTGCTCAGTCCCCAAAAAATCTGAGGTTCCTAAGTTTCCCCGCTTCAGTTGGATTAAATCGTTTGCATCCTGAAGCCATTTGCCTTCCATGCCAACGAGACAGGCGATCTTTGCTGTCGGCGAAGGTTGAGCCGCTTGTGTCAGACATGAGTTGCCCAACATCACACTGCCTTGCGGGTCACACCCCAACTCCAGTGCTCAGCGTTACCCAGCAAAAAAACACACGCCTGGGCTGACGAAAACAAAAATTGAAACGGGCCTCAAACATCCCGACGCGTGGATTTCTTAACCTGTGTTTTGGCGTTTTTTGTCTGTGTATAGCATTCCAGTGTGCTATTTGCAGTATTCTGGAGAGTTGAGCACAGAGAAAAGAGTGCATTTCCATGGGGATTTACAATTGTTGTGGTATTTGCCACACACAAAACATGCTGTCCCGTGCCTAAAATGATATCTCTGTCAAGAAAAACTGCATCATTACTGGACAGCTGCGTGTGTTTCTCACATGGCTCGCAGCGTTTTTGCAGTCAGTGTGGCTAGGGAATCGTGCTTGGCAGGTTCCCATCGCCACTGCCACGCCAGATCTTCTCATTGATCTGTGTCTGATCAGTGACGTCCGTGGTTCTGATCTGTTTTGGCAAGCCTTTTTCAACAAAGACCAGGCTCCATCAATCGTTCCCGTATGAACTTTCAGCATCTTTCAGAGTCCCGACGACGCAAGAGCGCTTCCATGAAGACGTGAAACTGGAGCCAAAGATTAAAAAAAAAGTCGCACAACATATCATGCAAATTGCCCCCCCCCCCCGAACTCCCCCCGAAATCTGCAGCGAAAATCGCTGGGCCCTGACGGTGCCACTGTCATCAGTCATCAGATAGTTATGCAGACTCTGACTCTCAGCTTTGCTGGATCGGGAGATGCACTGGTAGTCATGCATGTTCAAAAATTGTCACAACTACACCTGCGGTTTTCCACGTGTAGGCTCAAACATCCATAGCACAAAAGAACTCCTGTTCCAATCAGTGTCCATGTCCCGAATTTCCTGCTCCATGTCTTGATTTCCAACCTCTTCTTTTTGAGGGGCTCACTTGATGAATCTCGGCGCCGTCTTGCTGTCCCGGACCCAGCGGCTCAACGGACGGATGAACTCCTCCACCTGGAGTGAAGAAGACTTGTGGACGTCTCTAAGAGATTTTACCAGGGTTCTTGGTTTCTATGGGTTCTATCCCATACATATATATATATATGGGTTCTATGACACACACACACACACTGTAGCTAGTTGTTGTTTGTTCTATCCCTTATCGTTTTGCGGGGTCTGAAGAAAATGATGAACCTTCTCGTTGCATGGCAACCAAATTCTCTGACAACATGCGCTTCACGTCAAGGAACACATCAAGAAAACCAGCTAAAACTTCGCATCTTGGCACATCTTGTCTGACAGTCATCTCTTTTCTCATTTCTCTTGCAAAATAGATGCACGGCTACGCTACCGACACGAGGTCCTGACGGCTGCTAGAAATCCCAAAAATAAAAGTCTCTTCAAACAAATCAAGGGTCCTTTATTTGCCGTTCATTCCCGGAATCGGCCCGGCCAAAACGCCACCACCACCGGGTACGAAAAGAGGTCACTGGCTTGGACAGTGACCAGGGTTGAAAGCGCTGTTTGCATGGGTGTGTGTGTGTGAATGTTTCTTGTATCGTCAATCTCTTTTTCTGGGCCATTCATATGTGTAAAAAATGACTTTCGCGGTGCGAGGTTCATCTGTGTTGGAGGGTCCCCTTCGTCTCCCTTTTTCTGCACCCGTGTCCAAAATTACAAGCGCAAAACTCATTTGAGGGGGCACCTTTTCATTTGCGCTTAATTTTCCTGTCACTTGCTTTCATTTCCATCTCAGGGTTGCCTTGTACAAAAAGACTGAGGGCCAGGTCAACGGTTCAATTGCCCGGCCCCGTGTGGCTTTCTTCTTTGAAAAAACCACTGCAATTTCACTGGGGGGCAAAACAATTACTCCTTATCGTTTTGCCTGAGTCCTAGCTTTTCCAAACCAAAAAGGGGGGCTAGGTCGACAGCCACCGCTCCGTCCGCCACCAAGGAGGAAACCCTCCTCCTCGCCTCGATCGTGCCGTTGCCATCCACGTCGATCATCATAAAGAGCTCACGCAAGTCACCTGCGGAGCGCCCGGCCCACCGGTGGAGCCGCGGTCGCTCCGCTGTCGCTGCGTCGACTGAACGACTTCCCCGTCGACGATGCAGCGGGGTGTGAAAACACCAGGTACGCTCTGCATCAGCTCGTCGACTTTCAACAAACACGGCCTCCCAATAAAGGGATCAAAGGGTGTGATGACTGCTCCAAACGATTTCAACGTACCCCCCATGCCTGTGATGTTGCTGATCAGTTCAGGTAGCCAATTGTTTCTCTGAACCATGCCCTTTGCTTTGGCTTAAGGCTTAACTCCCCTAAAGTCCAACTTCTCGCCCCCTAAGTCGCGTGAGATCCCAAAAATCAGTAAGCATTCGACCGACGCCTCCCAAAAGAAAATTGTTTCTTCCGCGAAGACAGAACGGTAGGGTTCGAGGTTTCAAGAACATTGGAACCCCTCGCACCCCAGCGCCGCACGCGTCCAGGCCAAGTTTACGGCCTTCGTCAATATCCATGACCCGCAGGCGGCTTTGGAACTCCGGGTTCTTCCGAGCTCCTGAAGGTTTTCTAGAGCTGAGCCTGCTAAGCTTTCTTACTCTTGGGGTGCCTGTGGTCACCTAGCGGGCGGGTCTTCCGGTCTTTTTTCGGGACCGGTGCCTTTTCCGTACTAACACGCAAGCTTAATCATCCACCACTCTGCCAGGCCTTTCAGTCGCAATGCAAGAGAACTCACATGCTTTAGCTCTCAAAATGGTGGAACATACCACTCAGGTGTGGGGGGGGTGTTTTGAGGAGGCTGGCACTTCCCACCTGTCCATTGGGGATTTGACGTGAGCCAAAGTGGACAGGGGAAGTCACAACTCAATCAATTGACCACACCGCCAGGCTGAAGAAACTGTTACTACACACAAATAAGGTAAGGTTTGTTACGCAAATACATGCTAGCTTAAACATCCCCCACCCTGCCAACCCTTTCAATTGCAATGCAAGAGAGCGCACATGTTTAGCTCTCAAGATTGTGGAAGAAAAGGAAGCATGGTTGACACCTTATTGAACTGGGGCTCACGCGTTTCCCTCGCGCCTCACACCCGCCGCCAGAATTCCTGTTCATTGAAGACAAACCACGCGATCCAACACCTCACATGCCTTCGAGCCAATCTCCAACTTGCTCGTGCAAGCAAAACACATGTCAAACAGTGTGAGCTCGTTCAAGTCACTTTCGTCCGCATAGGTGACATTCTTGGAAGAGCCCGCATTTCGTCGCCCATGCTGGGCCTCTCGACGGTGTTGCGGACGGTGCCCCGCATGCGCCTCAACTCGGCGTCTGGGTTCTGGAGAGCCGCCTCGGTAGTGGAGGGTTGGTCTTGCTCTTGGCCGGTTGTCTCGGCCTCGATGGAGTTAATAACTGCACCTGGCCATCTTGCTTACTCGCATTGGTCGTTGCAAACGCTCTGGTCCACCCACCAGTCATCTTGCCCGCTGAGCCGGCACATGAAATACCTGCTGGTTTGGCTCTAAAGCACATGTAAGCACGGAGCCCTGTTGAACGCGTCCGTCCAGAGCTCACACATGGGAAGCGCTCACAAAACCTGTAAGTCTTTGACAGGCAACCGGCACTTGTTGGCTGGGAATCCAATTTCACATCACGCAACCCTTGGATGGCCCGCGACACTTGTTTCCAGAACGTCCAGCGATGGGTCGAGCCGACGATGTTCAGTGCCCCCCACAGAGCCACGGCCTTACCACGGGATCAGTTTCCTGACCCATCCCATGACGCCCGCCATCTAAAAAACCGACATGTCTTGGAGAATCCCGGCAAACAGTTCAAACAACTTCTGAGTCTTTTCAGGAGATAGAAGGAGTCTTGAGAGAGATGACAGAGTTGGTCGCAGCAGGAGTGGGACACTTAAGGGCCAGATCTGCTTGGGACATCCAGGGCGTTGCTGCCACGAAGTCCAATCCCATTCGGAGTTTCCCATCCACTGCTTTCGAACATCTCCGAACGACACCTGTCCTCTGCCTGCATCAACAAGTGCCACGTCTCCGGAAACTCTGCGTTCGGCTTGCAATCCTCTCGTAGCACTCTTTGAAGCAAGCGGCTCCAAGTCGTACCTCAACATGAAAAGTGCAGACCAGTACACCTTCCAGCAAGCAGCCCACGCGTCGAAGGACGGAGGTCCCGGAATGTCCAGAGCTCTGAACAGAACCGTGGATGTTGCAAGAGCCAGACTTTGCTTTCATCTGCTTTAGAACTCAGCGTCCAAGGGCGTAAGGACACTGAAGTCTGCGTAAGGGCTTTCGACGATGCAGAGCCAGTGGATCCGCACCTGTAACCTCGGCATGATGGCGGTAGGCCTCGTAGCTGTGCCTGCATCAGTACCAGAGGGGGATGATCTGAAAGAGGGTCTATGTCCTCCATGCCATAAGCTTCTCCGAGCCAACGCCAAGTGAATGGCCTCCACACTCAGCTTGCGAGGGCTACTGGAGGCGATTCACACCAAGGACCAAGTTTCTCGGAAGGCACTGGGCGCTATGCTTGCCAAGACACGTAGGTTGGGAGCCTGACCAACAGCGGCCTGCCAGGCAGACCACGCAGGGTCACGAGAGCCAGCCCATCGCTTTGCCTCGTCAAGGCTGGTGATGCCTGCGAGCTCCACGGCGGTTGTCATCCAGCGCCGCAAAGGCCCGAAAAGTCTATGGGGCCGCAGTGACCTCAAAGGCCTGCACGGCCTTGTGGGCTCACCAGGCACGGCACCACCAACCACACACCAAACAAAATGCCCATTGGGCACTTGAACCAAAATGGACAGGGGGAAGTCACAACTCAATCGACCACACCGCCAGGTTTAAGCAAATGTTATTGCACACAAATGAGATTTGTTACGCTCAAAAGAGGGGCTACTTCGTGCAGTGCGCGCATTGTAGGACTTTGTGGCATTCCGACAGGATGACCTATACCCTACAATGCCCCGGGTCAAGCCGGGTCCTTTACCTGATTGAGGTATGATCAACTCTAGTAAAGCAAGGTCCAACTGACCTGCGGGCATAGGAAAGTCTATTGTAGTTGTAGCTCTCTTGAAGTGTCCAACACCTCCAAAACACGGAAAATGTGATGGGAAGATATGGGAAGTATCAACGCAAGCTACCTTCGGTTCGGTCAAAAACAGTTGATTGTGTCGCCAATATCAGGTGTGGAACTTTGGAAGAAGAACATGTGGTTTCAATGGCTAAGCCCAGCTGGGTGGACCTTTACCATGCTTTTGGGGGGACTCCGGATAGGAGCCCTGGGTCCCGTGACCTGGCGGTCTGGAAGTGGTGATCAAGCGAGCGACGGCCGGTGGTCCTTGTAGAAGTTGAGCGTAGCTCAACTCCCCGGTGCCATCTTTGTCAATCTCCTCAAAGATCTTTTGCAGGTACTTCCTGGCTGGGGAAATGATCCATTCTGCAGGGCGTTATATTGATAATGCACTCATCTCTCTCCTGATAATGGTTATATTGATTGGATTGGATGGGTTTGGCTCAGCTTGTGCGCCTCTTTGATCTTCAGAGAAACAATTTGGTTTGTTGGACGGTGCTAAACGGTTCGCCCTCGGATTTGCCGTTCTCAAATGTCCAAGAGGACTGCTGAGCGGGATTGATATGTCAAAGAATCTGGTACCAGGACTTTTTAATAGAGATCTTCTAAGGTACTTGGTTCATGCTGAGATACCACGTGCACGTCGCACCAAAACAAATCTTGCAGAACCAGCTCAAAGGTCCTAGCTCGAAGGTCCTATCAGAGGTCCTTTTAATTGTAACGCCTTTTATGAATAGAGAGGACCTTGAGGTTGTATGAAAAGGCATGAGGCAACCTTTCCCCGCCCTCCTAAACACCACACGGTGACCGTGTTTCCTGCACTGCCCGGCAGTTGGATCTACCTCGATTCAAAAGGGCCAAAAAGCGTCTGATCCAACCACCCAAAATCCTGGTTGGAGCACCCTACACCATCTACCGATCTGCATGGGGCAGTCATTGGATGGTAGAGTTTCCTCGAACACTCGGTTAACCTCGTTTTGGACATGATGTTTGACCCTTTGAGGGTGCGGTCCAAATAAGGACCCCAACGCAAGGGCTGGGGCGCATGTTCCTTCAGAAAAATGAAGGATCGAAATACGACCGGGTTAGATCCCGGTTTCAACACATGAGGAGGCAAACAAGAAATGATCATAATTGCAACGACCATCTAAAAACGTGTTGTGCACAGATCATACATCCAAAAGCATCTTCTTAATTAACGCTGCTCACTTTCCTGGAAACCAACGGGGATATACATGTGATGTCCCTAATACCAGCCCCATCTGAGTGTTTCACGCGCCACCAAGCCATATTGCCATTGGGCTCGCCACCGACCCACCGAGGCTCTGGTCACTCTCCAGGTCGCGCTCCATCTCCTCAGCCAAGTTCACCATATCATGCTCGCGAGCGTCGGCAAAGGTGTCTACCTTGGCTCATCGCAAAACAAATCACTCATTCAACTCAACCAACTCAGTTCAGCTTCAATGTCAATTTGGAGTTATATAAACTGCAGCTTCAATTCAATCAATCAAGCAGTCAACCAATCAATCAGTGAGTGAGTGAGTGCGTGAGTGGGTGTGTGGCTGAGTGCGTGCGTGAGTGAGCAAGCGAGCGAGGGAGGTAGTCGGTCAGTCGGTCAGTCGGTCAGTCAGTCGGTCCGTCCGTCCGTCCGTCCGTCCGTCCGTCCGTCCGTTAGTGGACAACCAACCAACCAACCAACCACACAACAAATCCATCCATCAATCAATCAATCAATTAATCAATCAAATCGATGTCGGTTATTGTATTATATATATATATTACATGTATGTTGTGCTAGCACTGTATTTAACTAGCTATACATTAAAGAACTAAGTCAGTTGAAGGCATAATTCAACAATCTTAAACATATTATGCGGAAAGAAACTGTAATTTGCCCGCGCCAAATGTGTGAAGCGTGATGTGGGGCGGCGCGTCGGATCGTGTGGACCACGATTCGAAAGGGGGACTCACCTGCATGGCTTAAAACCCTCCGCTTTTACCCGTTTGAAGGACTTGGGAGAAAACAACGACGTCAAAGGGAACCCATACCGAGTTCGGCCTAAGTTAGGCCCAACATGGGCCCAAGAATAAACAGCAAAGCTCAGTCATGGCCAACAAAAAAACCACAGAGACTATGAGCGTCAAATGGGTGCATTTGTCGTTGGCTTTCCCTGTGAGCCAAAGGGGTTACGAGGACGGTAAGATTTTGCCAAAGCATGACTACCTACCGGACCTACCTTTTATATGGTGATGCCATTTCAACGGAATTTTGAGGTCACAAAAGTCTATATGGACGGTAGATATGCTTTGATATGCTTATATACATTGCCTCGGATGGCCTGCGCGCGATCAAAGCTTGAAGTCTGGCACGTTTGCAACCATACAATAGCCCAGATAAAACCAACAAAAAAAGACACCGTGATGGTGACAAAAGGCTTCGAATAACTAACATGTGCAACATGTCTCATAGCCCCTCTATTTGAACAGGGATTCGCAGACTCGCGGTGCGGTCTTTCACAAGCGGGAAGGATTTGGGTCAGGCTCCTGTCTGGTCCGGCCCAGGGGAGTCATGAAAAAAACACAGATCTCCAATCAGCCACTTGCATCTAGGAGCAAGGACGCTACTAGGGGCTCGTGGCCCTACTACTAGGAGCAAGAAGCTACTAGGAGCAAATAGCATCGCTACTAGACCTCATGGGCGCCACAGCAACCCTTGTTGGTTAAATGTTTGAACTGCATACCGGACGCCTGCGCCTTCAGCGGAATTCACAGAAGATCTCGAGGCCTGTTTCTGTTCAGAATTGCATGTCTGCGCTCAGTTGTATCCACGTGCCTCTTTCCTCTCTTGTAGATGCTGCAACCAGGATACACAGGTGAAATGTGATTTTGCTGGCTCTGCCTAGTGTGGGAGCTCTTGCATCGTGTATTCTCCAGACCCATGTACCCTGTGAGTGTCCGTTCTTTGGAGGTGCCATACTCACAGAAGAATGGACCATCGAGTTATATATATATATATCTGCATATTGACCTTAGTCCTTGTTTGTCCTGCCTGTGCCCCGGGTCATGCAAGTCAAACTGCCCTGGTCGTGTTGCTGTTCGTGCCGTTGCTCTGCCCCAGCATACTGGGGTCATAGCTTGTTCTCTTCGCCTGACATTGTTGCCAGGATCACTGCTCTGTTCACTGCTGTCGCGGCCACGTTAAACTGAATACTGTTTGTATGTGCACAGCTCTTTGTGCTTTCCTCTTGAAAACTCAAGGGGCCTCAGATCATTCTCTCTCTCTCTCTCTTGTACAAAGACCTTGCCATGTCACATCTACGTCTCTCCCTCTCTCTCGCTCTCTTCCTCTCTCTCTTCCTCTATGTCCCTCTGCCTTGGCTACACAAGCTCGAGTGTCATTCGCAAAGAAAATCCCTGTCGTTGGCGGTCTTCAGCGCCAAGCGTATTGATTACATGTTGTTACACATATACGTTTACTTGCAAGCGAAACAGCAGTGCGGGGCATGGAGCAAGTTTTGGGAGAACGAGGCATATTTTCACATGTCGGGAGGGAACAATTTCTGGCCCCAACATATCAAGACATGCGATACCTAAGGTTGAAACTACACACACGTCACATATTGTCTATATGATGATGCGGCCCTCCCACGATCAGCTAGCATGACACATCGCAAAACGATGGTTTATCAAAACACCAAAAGCTGCTAATGCCAATGCAAAGGTTGAACAAGAAGCATGACGAGTTCTTCATGTCCAAGTATGGGAAAAAATGCCATATTTCCAGATACTGAATTCAAGCAAAGCTTCCACTACTGCAACAACCAGGTTTAAAACTCCAAAGACGATGGTCAGGTACGAGCCCACAAAGACAAAGGAAGTATACCAATGCGCTTCAATCACAGGGACAGCCATGTCCCCCCAGGAATCCCCGGCAATGACGGTCTTGAAGAGCAACAAATTGGCACCCATCACCGAGGTGGTCCCCCACGCGCAGTCGCTGCACTCAGCAATGTCCAGCTCTTTCACCAGCGGGTGCACCACCTCCACCAGCAACATGGACCACACGGTCATCACCATGAAGCAGAAGCAGAATGACCAAAACAGCGCCTGATTCAGGGCAGCTTGCGAATCCGACTTGTTTGGTTGGGCGGCCTCCTCAGATCATGTCGGAACACGCAACGACATCAAACGGGTTGCGAGCAACAACGCTGATCTTTCTCCAGCCGGCGTTTCATCTCCAGCCTTCAGGCAGGTGGACATCATCTTCACCAGTTTCGAAAGCTCGCGTAAGGCGTTCACATTTCGCAAGAGCTTCAGCAAGCGAAAGACCCGCACCAAGCGAAGGATCCTGCGGGTCTTCGCCGGTGTTCACCGAAAAAGCCAAGAATGTGAGAAGACGCAAAGCCATGCAGGTTTGGGTACCAGCTCTACAAAATCAAAACACTGTGGCTTAGGTCAGTCAGAAGTCAGGGGAATCGGGAAACGGTTTCAACACTTGAAGTTCAATTTCCCAGGCAAGCGCAAGGTGAAATGATGTCTGGGTTTTCCTGGAATAGACAGAACTGTAAGAAAGTCGGGGCATAAAGATGAACATGGGAATACGACAGAGTGTTTATATATTTATATATTTTTATATGTAACATATATATGTGTTAACATATGAGGAATCTTTTGTCAGGTCGCCACGTATTTTGGGCAGCGACGTGGCTCAAAAGATCAGCTGAGTTCTTCGGCAGATCAGCAGTTCTTCGGGCAGTGTTCACCCCACGGGCGGAAAACTCGGAGACGCTCAACCTTTTCAGCAACCCTAACACCGTCTCCATCATCAGCATCAACACAGGGATCGGCGTCCTCCGTCGGGCGTTTGGTGGATTTGCATCCCTGGGAGGGCGTTTGGTGGGGCCGCGCGCGTCCTCAAACCATCGAATTTGTATCTACTCCACCATCCATCGCACACCTCCACCATCCATTGACTCTCCACATCCCTCCCGGCCAACATCCCTGGCTGCAACCGAGAAAACCACCGACTTGTTGCACAGCCCTCCACCTCAGCAAGCCGAGGCCAGTGATGTTCCCCTCCGACATCACCCATTCGGAGGCCAGTTCGCCATAGCCGCAAAGGATCAAAAATAGGTCCAACTTCACCATGTGCTCTCGGAGTACTGAAACCTCGCTCGTGTTCCAGAAAGTCGGTTCTTAAGACCCCGTCCACAAGTGGAAGAAGTCAGTTGGACCGGAAGAAAAAGCAAACACTTCTTTCTGCAGAAGTCCAAGAGGCCCCGAGGATGCAGAGGTTCAAGATGAATTCGATGCTATAGATGGCTAAGCAAAGGTAGGAGATGGTCAAGACCAGCGAGGGTGTGGTGAGGTCAACAGCACGATAGTCGATATCATAGCAAATGCCTGGAATGATCTGGTCGCGGCAGCGCGAGATCTCCCTAAGTTTGATACACACTTGTCCCAGCCGACACCAGCCACGCCCAACCTACAACATACACATTGATTTGGACCTCTGAGAGCGCCCAGGTCTACCTCTCTCGGGGCTTGAGGAGTGCAAAAACACGTCTACCCAGGACTGTCCACCTGCGAGACAGCGATGAAAAAAGTATTGGACCAAGCCAATGGAGTACCAGCACCCTCCTCGCCAGGCTGTTAGTTGAGGGTTGTTGGACCCTAACAGGTCGAACCATTGGGGACCTGTAGAGTCGGGTCCTGGTATGAGTTCTTTCAAATACACTCCCGAAAACTAACATGGTTAGGTGGAGTTCACCACCTGTTTGCTTTGTGGAGTTCATGGTCTTCCGAACTCGGGGCCAGGCCATCCACGTTGGCCCATGTGAGTCTTCCAGGGTGTAAAATGCTCCAACTAGCAGGTGTGTCCAGTGCTGTCCAAAAACAGGGGGCGATGCTGGCCACACAAACAACCAACTCGCCGGGAGAATGTTGTTGTAAGCAAAAACGCTAACCGCTAACCACACCTCTGGAGTCGCTTTCATTTGTTCCGCTCACGAGCCAAAAACCCAACGACCCCGGCAACAGCGTTTAAAAAACGGAAATGAAAGCGTTTCTGGCAGCTGAGATTGCAGAAGCCATCCACCATGATCACCACTGCCATTAGATGACTCACCTGCTGACCTCGCGCTGGAGTTTCCACTGGGTTTCGAAGCCGGCCACACCGAAGAATAGCATACACATACACTGAATGACTGGTGCTTCGGTAAGGACCCAAAATGGTGATTGGAGTCCTAGGGATAGCATACACTCTAGACATCTCTAGACTCTATACCTAGAACATCCTAGAACTCCTTGGTGGTTTCACCCAACGTGGAGTCATCTGATGTTCATAATTCATGACAAATCATTGAACCCCAACTGCAAGGGCCTTGAATCACGTGTGGCACCAAGAAATGAGGTGCCTCCTAGCATCCAGGTCTCGCTCTGCCGTCTACTGAGGACGTCTATTGACGTCGGTTGCCCGACAGACCCTGACATCAAAAAGGATCAAAAAAGAAAACAGGAAATGCAACACAAGTCTTCTTTGTACGGTTCCGTCATGTTTCGAGGAGTCCATCAAAGTATGGAAATAAGTACTATGTATGTAGTACAACAAGTAGGTGACATTAGTCAGGTGACTTTAGTACCTCACTAAAAGTGTTCTTTTCATCACTTTAGTCACATCAGGTGACTGGAAATATGCTAATCCACAGTGACGGAAGCCCAATTGCAAGTGTACACGAAGGCCCAAGGCCTTCCTGGAAGCTGGGTACGTAGCCAAACTCCAGTGACGGTTGAGTCATCTGCCTTCTTTCACTGCCTGTCTGACACAGACCGAACCCTCTTTAGTAGCAAGAAGCTACTAGTAGCAAGGTGCATCGCCCTTAGTAGCTTCTTGTAACGTAGCGATGACCTTTGCTAGTAGCGATGCACCCACCCGGTCGACTGCCGCGGTCGATCGATCTTCGAGCGTCTCTTGACGAGGCGTCGCAAGCTGTCGGAGCCGCAAAGGCCGGCCGCATACTTCTCATACCTCGGCCGCAGACGTCGAGGCGTCCACGACCCCAGGTCCAGGGCGACCGGGCGTCGCAGTTGGGGTTCTGGTGGATAGGAAAGTCTTCCGAGGGCCCATGCCATCCACGTAACCGTGTGATGTGTTCGTCAGAGTGCGGTCCAGCCCGGGGGCGTCGCACTGGACGGTCTAGTCTCGGTCCACTCTCAGGAACGCTGTTGGTTTTGGGACGCAGCGACCCCGGTCGCTGCGGCTGCTAGACCCAATGGCCGAAGGTCACAGAATTGTGTTGGTCCTTTTGGTTCGAAGCAGGAAGGTGCTGTGGGGGGGGGCCAAGTCGCAGAGCCTTGTTGGGACCGGTCGTGCCACTGGATTCGAACGATTCTAGTGGATGGTGGTTGATGGCCACCCAAGACGAGTGAGAATCTTTACAAAGTGAAGATTCTAAAGACCCTATAGCTGGAAGCCCGTTTCTTCACATCGACCTCGTGTATGATCGAAAACTGCGAAGCTGTTGCGAAGCGCTTCGAGAAACCTCTGGAACAAGGGCATTGCAAATACATATTTGCTGCTAGTAGTAATGCACTTGTTACTAGTAGCGCTGCCCTTGTTAATAGTAGTAAGGTGCCTTGTTACGCAACCTCTCCCTTGCCCCGGAAAGTACCAGGCTCTCCCTCCGTCAAGATAGTTGCAACGGCACAAGACATTCCACGGTCGATTCTGCAGATGTGAGGATTTCCATTGGCAAATCCAAGGTATGATATAGACTGTGATATATCTGTGAGGCAGATAGGGACCGCTCAAGAGATACATGGAATACCATGGAATTGATTTGATAGGATGGCGACTGACCCGCTCACTCCTTTGTGTCCATCCAGTGGGGAGGGCATTCACTAAGAGTAAACACCTGAGGCTTCATGACGGGCTTCACGCCGCGAACACGCGCGCGGGGCATGAAATCATGGCTGGGCGGCGATTGCGCGCGGATGAAATCATTGCCCATCGCCACCTGTGAGCGTGGGCCAAAGGCTTGACTGTCTATAGGTCCTTTGCTAAGGGTTTAACCTTATTCGTGGTTTAGTAATAAGAAATCACTTCTTCACCAAAAGGACTCAGGGTCTAAGAGTACGCCTGAGGACAGTCAAGAAGGTCATGAAAAGTCTCACAAGGACCGGAAGAATCTGTGGTACGTACACTGTGCTTACGCCGATGCATGAGTGTTTGCCGATGCATGAGGGGGTGCTTTGGAGGCGCTTACGTGTTTGCTTTCCGCACAGCCGCAGCTTATGTGCCAGGAAGGAGGGTCGTTTGCAACGCTGATCCGTGTGCTCTGAATAAGTTGAATAGTTCATAGTTCCACTCATTGAATGGTTGAATGCTGTTTCCTTGCCAAATCACCAAATGGCTTCTTTTTAGGCAGCATTAAACTTTTGTTTACCCACAGCTTGCGCGCAGCTTACTAACTTATGCGCAGTTTACACACGTTTGAGTGCTAGTGTTGACGTATGGGTCGCTGTTGTGTGACAGCAGCTATTTTCAACAAGTCTTGAAAACTGACCAAGAAACCAGGGGCGTGCTTCATGTATTTGAGCGCTTTGGGATGCTTCAAAGGGCGGAAAAATGAACACCACACCTGGTAGGAGAAATCCTGGCAACACTGGTAGGTCCTTGCTTGTGGGGTCCTGGTTGACATACTGAAAACGGATCCTGGATCAAAACAGGTCCTCTTCAAAACACCTGAAAGCACCACCACATTAAGCCCCCAACAAATGGCCTTGTTGCTGCAAATGCGGACAAAGAACCTAGAAGAGCACCCAAAATTAGAAGGCTTGGAAAGGCTCAGATGAGCTCCTCTTTCAGCTCAACAAGTTCAACTCTCCTTTCACTCCTCAAAAACTTATTCTCGCCGTTTCCGAACAAAAGACCCCCTGCCTGGGCTGCCTGACTGGCACGCCTTCGAGAGACATCGCTTTGTCCAGAGATGCCACGGTCCCATCCAGTCGTGATGCTGGAGATGTCTCGTACGGGCTCACCCGCCGCGATGCCGCTGTCTTCATGCCCTGCGGATGGCGGCGATGCGGCGCGTCCGCAAAAGAGCGTCCGCATGATGTTGGGAGACGTGAACTTCGGCAGGGAGGGTGAATCATGTTGTCCGTTCTTGAGGAGCTTGGAGACTGACTGCCCAACGCATCGACCCACTCTCACGTGACCGACCCGCCATCCACTCCAGTCGAAGACTTCGATCTTCCTCGATCCGGTCGAAGCCAAGTGGCTGGAGACACTGGAAGAGGGAAGACTGCGAGAACTGCTGCCGGCTGCAACATGGCTCATGGCCTCGAGGAAGACACAAAAATTTGGTAAAGCGGCTGCAAGCGAAGGATCTAGAAGAGGGACCGAGTCTGCTGTCATCTGTTGTCTGTCTGTCATCTCATGCTGACTCATGCTGCTGTGAGCTGCGAAGGATAGAAGCCCACATCAGTGTTTAAGACCTTTGATGTTGTTGAAGCAGTGATGTTGTAAGACTATACAAGTTGCTGCTCCTCAAAGTGATATCACTGTTTGGACACAGGAGGGCTGAGACCTTCGTTTGATATACCGTCTCCCCCAGCTCCATCTCTGACCTAAAAACTGCGAGCGTAAAGATTCAGGAACCCAGCTCCAGTCATGGTCATGACACTCCGAACACATGGGTCACATGGATGATCCACGTGATCTCAATCCCCTGGAACATGGTCATTCGGCAACAAGAACCCTAGCCTTCCAATCATAAAATTGGGAAATGATCGTTAACCTGGGATTCGAACTAAATGGTGGGCCAGCAAGCCTAGGGGAAGAAGGTGCATGTCACCCCGAAAATGGTCCGATCCACCAACATGGGCGCTCCGTCTGAAACAGGCCTTTGAATAAGTGGTCACAAAGCCGGATATGCTGGAAGAAGTACTTGATTTTCAGCTCTTTTGGGGTTGGCTGAAGTCTGGCCGTCCCAATGTGGATGTTTCAGTGAAGTCTGTGCCCCATCTGCGGTGCCCCATCAACCGGCTGCATCGAAAACACCGGCTGATCTACGCAAAGGTCGGGGCGTGGACAGAAAGAAGGGCGGAACCCGCGATGCCCCAATGCCCAGGACCTTCTCATTGACCTTTTCAGGATTTGCAAGTCACCTTGAAAAAGGAGAGGTCCTGGCAGTGAAATTCTTTATGTTGCCTGTTTTCTAAGTTCTCTTGGGAACCAACTCCAGACTCTCAAGAACCTGGCAAAAATATGTGAGCGGCTTCAAACCGCCTATACTTTTCTGTCGTATACCGTGTAATCCTGGTTTGCTTTCGCGGGGCGCTCGCAAACCTTCCGCGACCTCCGTTTTGGCCTTCGCGAAAGCATGTGAGTTTACAGTTTGTGCACGTTTCATCATAGAGGTGTTTGCCATCAAGTCATCAAGTGCTGAGAAACCACCCCTTTTCCGCCCTAACACTGCACCCCTGCATCCCCACATCCCAACACAACCCATTTCGCAGCCCGCTGACCGGGTCACTTTCTCACTGCGGCACCGCCCGGCACCGTGCACCGTCTGCAGCCGCCGTCGGAGAGGACGTGGGAAGAAACAAAAACGGTTTGGACGGAAAGGACCATGGAAGACGAGTTGGGAGTCGTTTGTTTGCTATTTTGTCCCGTCCTTTTGTCTGTCGTGCGACCCAGTGGTGGGATCGTTCTTTAGTTTACAGTAGGTCTTGAGAAAGCCCACCACAACTCGCCATGACTGTGCGACGTTTTCAGCACTCAAAACGGCTGAAAACCCACGGCAGCTTTCACAAACTGTTTACAGAGGGGGTAGGATCCAGTCAAAAAGCTCGAACCTCCCACATATCTACTTTGCTAGATTGGTCCAGGAACATCTCCTGATATAGACCCTACCTCCAAGCATCCAGAGGAAGTGGACAATGACCCCTTGGAAGGCGAATGTCCTCGTCCCAAAGAGCAGAAGGCTTGGAAGCCGGGGTACATAGGCTGGCCACTAGGCTGGGCGTCGCAGAATTGGCCGAATTGGCCCAGACCCTGCGAGATGCGGTGCAGAACTGCGGCCAGACCCTGTCCCAATCCAAACCCCTTCCAAAAGCGGAACTTGCGGGCAACAGCTCTGACGCTTGAGTATGTTGAATTGCTTTGCTGTGACAACAAAGGCTGAAGAGGCAAGGGCACCAGAGAACCGATTCCGAGGGCTCGTTTCGATCAGGGAAGACCAAACCTTTCAAGGCCCTTCTGCCTTCCAAACCGAGGAAGCCCAACCATCGACCCTCCCTGAACAAACAACCTAGTATTCATAGCGCCCAAAAAGGTGTTTCTTTTTTCGATGAGTTTCTCTATGTCAGAAGCCCAGGTCTGGGATGATCTTAACAACTCACAGATCTACAGAATCTACAGAGAGTGACCAGTGAGTGGAAAGGTGTTTCGTTTCTTCAGCTTGTTCCATCCAACTGCAGCTGCAGAGGCACCTGAAGCACAAGGACCTGGGCTTGGCCCAGCCCGAGTCTTCAAAATCTTCGAAGAGCAGTTGAAATGTTGGAAGTGCCTTCCTCATGATGACAAAATGATGGCACCTTCCAAGTCGTCCGAGGTGTGGCCAGACTCGAACCTACCGGGGCCCTATATGCATGTTGCTGGCCAAATGTCGCTCATACCACCGACACAGGGTTAGTGGAACATGGCTAATTCGTGCTGCTTCGAATGAGGGTAGTAAATCCACCATCCATGGATCAGGGTGGTAACCTATATCATCAGATTCGAATAAACATTGTTTCAATGGTCTGAATCCCAAAGAACCGTTGCTGTACTAAGGATTTTACATTACAAAGCCAGGTCAACCATTCTTTTCAATGGTCTTTGAAGGCTAGTGTATAGAGTTATCTGGAATAGATGCAATATGGGACAATCCAAAAGCCGGAAACTGTTGTTTTCAGATTGGTTCATGTTCGTTCCAGGATGGTTGGAAGGTTCACACACCCCTCCACAGAAAATGAGACTGACATCACCCAACCAGACAATGGTCCGCAACCCATGCCAGTGAGCAGTGGACAATGGCGTGTGTGCATGAGTTCTCACATGAGTTCTCACATAATTGATGGGATTCGAACCGCTGTGACCCTGGATCTGAATCCTCTGGAGATTCTCCGAATCCTCTGGGGTCTGGACTCCCTCTCGGGAACTTGAGGGAACCGGGCAGATTTTCGCGTCCAGGCTGGCCAGGATGTCCTGCTTGGGTCCAAGTTCGCTCCCTGTTCCGTTTCAGGTCCGGCCAAACCCCGCTGATTTGACGAGGCACTTCTTTTTGTCGCGAAAAAACAGTGATCCCCGCCCAGCCAGGTCTTGAAAGGTCAGCCGACAGGATCGTGCGCTCATGTCACGATCTCCTGAAGCATCCACGGAGCACCGAACGCAGGGATCGTCGGGGCGTCGTGTGGAAGCTCATGCGAAAAGGAAACAAGTGGCCTGATCCGCTGGAGGGGGCCCAATCCTGTTCATGTCGTCATTCCGGTGGTTGGGAATGCTGCGAACGGACGTTTGGACCAAAGCCACGTGCTCATCTGTTTGACGCAATCGGAGGAAAGGACTCCCCCATCCTAAGTGACTTATAGAAGGTAGCGTTCAAGCACGCGAAAGCGTTGGCCATCCCATTACGTGATGTCTGACCGGAGCAGGACCAAAGCGGCCGGAGCGGGTCGGTGCGTACTCCAGGTACCGAGGTACCGGGGTCGTTGTTCACGAAGCTCCGGCGGGAGGGGGGAGACCCCTTCCAAATCAACCACATCAACACAAGGCCATAGTACAAGGCCAAGGCCATGAGTTCAGTTCCTCCCACTAGAAGTTCTCATGCTCGGTGCGGTGGAGGATGGATTCACTCCCTTCACTCCCTTCACTCCAACTCCTTGGATCCAAGTCGTGGTGCAGGTTGAGCCCTTCCCTTCGTTCGTTCATTCGTTCGTTCTCCAACCAATCAAAGATCGCCGATCCGGCTCTTCCAACAAAACGGTCCACCTGTGAAAGATCTGATCGTTCCTTTTTTTCCACGCCTGCCAGGCTGTTCTCAAAGAAAGCTGGTCAGTCTCTCCGTCCCGTTCGCACCAAAAAAAACCCGCCGAGCCGCTCTATGAAGTACCTTCCATCCTTGGCCCACCGGCCTCAAACCTGCCGATGGCGGAGAGCTGTTCGCGGCTCGGTCAAACTTTCACGGCATGCCTTTAAAAATCTTCGAAAGAAAGCGGCTCACCGGCTCACCGAAAGAGGAACAACAGGTACATGTTCTATGTTTTTTGGTTTTAAACTAGTGTATATCGTTTTATATAACTCAAATTATACATAACTCTATAGTGTTTTAATGTGTTTTATACACAAGGAGATGATACATAATTAAGTGAAAGACCGAAATCGAGCCTTGGCTTTCGCATGCGAAACCGCCGATGCACCGAAGCAGGAGAAAACACGGAACAGGACTACTACGATGGGAACACACGACTTCACCAGCTTTCAGTAGCGAAGTGGGAAAGGGTACCAATCCAGAAATGGTTGAAACGTCCACTCCATAAGCAGAAATCCGCGAAGACATGCCACTGAAATCCGCGGTGAAGCAGCATACCAAGCATGCCAAGCAATCCGAGTGGTGAAAGTGAATCACTTCACAATCAGTGAAACAAGTACAGTACCATGCACAGGAGAAGATATCACACCAGTTCCCTATGCAGGTGACAATGCACCATGCATGCCATGCTCCAAGGCGCAAGGGACCCCAGCAGTCAAAACCTCCCTTTCCTTCCCTGCCCTGTCCTTTCCTTCTGTTCAGGTCCTTCGTAGTCAAATTCAGTCGAGTCGAACCCCAACTGTCGGGTCGAACCGGGCGTTGGCCTGCTTTTGGAGCGCCACACAGCGCTTTCATTTCGTGTGTGCAGCGTGTGCAAACCCAACAGGAACGATCTCCAAGCATCAACGTCCACGGCTGTTGTGCGCCCCCGCAGCCAGCATTGGAGAAAAATGCGGAAGCATATGGTGCATATCATATCTGATGTGATCCAAAACTCATAAATCCTTATGATGAGCATATGAAAGGAAGGGTGGTTTCAAGTCTAAAAGTAAAAATAAATGTATGATAATCCAATATATTTTTATTAGTCTATGCGCTCCATCTAGCCCAGGAACCCCTTCGAGATGCTTTCGGAAGCAATGTCATCCATGTCATCTACTCCGGCCCGGAGTCCGGGGCCCGGCTTCTGGAGTGCGAGGACTGTTGATGTGTCAAAAGTTTTACACAGCTCCAGTTCTTTCAATCTACAAATCTCTTGCTACGACCTTGCATAAGGACCCAAAACGGGCGAGTCGCAGGTGAAAAGAAATACCGTTCGACTCCGATGCCACCGACCTCACGAGCCGCTCGACCCCCATGGCACGACTGGGCCTCGTAGGGGTCCGGGCGCTGGTGGGGCTTGGGATCTCCAGCCTGTCAACCAGCCCCATCGAAGGGTGGGTCCGTGGATCTCCCAGGCCAGGTGGTGTCAGATGGTCACACCTCACACCACCTGTGGAGGAAAGGTATCGTGACCACCCAGAGGTTCTACTTCCATCTTCCATGTATTTCCAGAGGTATGTGTTCTACTTCCAGTTCTATATGGTTCTATATACTTCCATCTTCCATGTGTGTTTGTGTTTTCCTGGGAAATCTCAGACAGTACAGGAGGTTTTCTGTGCCACACTTCAGAGAAACTCTTCTTTCTGTCCATTTGGCTTCGGCTTCATCGGGTACCATCCAGTCACCGGCCAGGGTGAGAAGAAGGTGGTGAAAAAAGACCGAAGATGACCGGTCTCCGCGTCTTTGTTTTTGGGGGGGGCAAGAACTACGGTGACGGATTGAACCCTGAAAAAACATGCCTCCCTCCACCTTGCTGGACCGGCTTTCCAAGCGAACACCTCTTCGGTTTGAGTGGGCTCCACCCTGGTGAATCGATTCCATCCGTATGATCCACACCCATCCTGCCATCCATCTCAAGCAAATCGGTAGAATCTCGGTCTCTTCGAGTTGCGATGTTCATTTTCACTGCTCGCTTCACTGCGAACGGTTCGATGCTTGCCATGCTCGGATGTATCTTTATATAGGCATATGAGGCATATGTATACGCACATATTGCCGGGCTCCAAGTACCTTCTTGGGTGTTTGGGGGGGGTTGGAGGGTCCAGATACCTTCTGAGAAGGTACTTGGAGCCCTACAGATAATAAAATATGATAGATGCGTTCGATATAACTAACTCCAAGCCCTTGACCTGGGGATTTGGACTCATGAAGAAATAGTTTGGACTACCACAGAATGGTAAACTCTCTGGCTTTGATGAAGTTATCTTCAACCCATGCATGTTCAATGCCTGGCTGGATGGTCTTGCACCCCCATGATCACCTGTGTTATCTGCACGCCTGCTGGATTTCGAGGTGGTTCGCTCCTCTTCACAGGGCACCTCATCCTTCTCCGTGTTCGGTAGTGTGGGCTTGCAGGGCAGCCTGACCGTTCCGAGCGAGCAGCCAATTCTCCAATTTGGCATTTTCAAGGGTGGGTGTGTCTCAAGACGGATGGTTATTGGCGAGCATTTCATGTATTGATAGTGCCCCAAAATCAGTCTGAACTCATGGGAATGGATGTGGCAACCCATCCACATGCGCGATCGACGAAGGCGCTGCGATGCATTTAACATCTCTGCACCACTTGGGTCCAGGGTGGGCTGGCGGTAGACCCACCACCCCCTCTTGTCCTCATTGGCTTGTGCCACCTGATGCAAGTCTACATTAGGCTACATGGATACCTCTGAGTTCCTTGATCATAAGCGAATCACTGAACGAACGCAACGACCTGTCCCCACCCAGGTCCACCCGCACTCCGCCCTCGTGCTGTCACCCGCTCTCCTGGCCTAGGGTCCAGGCTCAATCCGAGTGGACCCGGACTTCCGCAGACCTGCTCCTTCGGGCCCTGGCCAGTTCGCCCAGCCGCTCAAGGGCGGAGGTGGGTTTGGCATGGGCGACGACGAGGGGTCCAGGTGTGGCTCGAAGGTTTGACCGGTTCAGGGATTCGGTCCATCCAAATCCACTGCCGCGCAGCCGCGGCTGGAAGCTGGGTGTCCACGTGGTTCTACCATTCAGATGATTGCTAGATGGTCTTGTTGAATGTCCGTTGAAGGGTGAAAAATTGCATAGCCTCCATCCAACAAACATAGATGTGGAATATAGCTTGTGGAAAACCACTGTTTTCACTTCCATGCTTCAAGAGAGTAGCTTGTGTGGCATATATGCCTCTGCTACTACAAAGTTCAAGAAAATATCCCTCCCTAAGCAACCACTAAACTAAGGCTATCTAGGAATGTTTGCACTGGGGCCTTCATCGCCAAAAAGAAAACCTTCTCGTGATCATTTTGGAGCTCCAGGTGTTGCAGCGGGTGAGGATCATATACAGTGGGCCATCAGAGTAGATGGCACAATCCCCCAAGTCTGGTTTAGATGGACCCCCCAAAAAAAAAACACACATCTTGGGGTGGTGCCATTTCTCACCTCTGATGGCCCACTGTTGTTCGGCCAATTTCGGCTGGAACCGGACCGCCGCAACGAACCCGGAACCGGATTCCGATCGCGGTGTCCACCCGGTCGCTCAGTGGATCTGATCCGACGTGCCTGGGACGAGATGTTCCCATAACGGTCATGTGTGAAGCATGATAACAGCTTTGGTGCCAAACATATGGGTTATGAGGACCTTATGGATGCTTATAGATAGGTGCGGCTTTTTTTAGATGTGAAGCATGGAATCCCAGAAGTCCAAGCTGGACTCATAGCGTCTGCAACATGGTCTTTGCAAACTTGGACAGGCCAAGTTCGCAAACCTCCGGATCTTGCCCCGGTCTTTTTCTCCATCAATTGTATCTCATCTCAGTGCTTGCAACCACCTTGTGACCGGTTGATCAATGCTCATCTTTCGCTTCGTGGCTATCCACGTGGACCCTTTGGATTGGGCTTTCTGTTTCTTCTATGACGAGTGCTTAAACCCTGTACCATGGCATTCTCATTCCCATGCCTTAGCCGCTCTCTTAATTGTAGCCCCTGGTTCCCACCTGTCCACCACACTTGATCGACCAAATCGCTTTGACCATGTACCATCTCATCAAAAAGACGCCAAGAACTCACCCCTCAAATCGCTTGACCTCTCTAGCAACGGTGCGCGCTTTTTTCAACTCGCCCACCCGGAAAAAGAAACGCCTGCCCGGAGGCGAGGTGGTTTGGCAGGTGCGAGCTGAGCGCCGCGTCTTTCTGGATGAGTTGCTCCATGGTGGCCTCCCATCCACCAAGTTGCCGTAGTTTGTAGGATTCTGGGAGATTGGAGCATCACACTTCAAATTAGCTTTTGGGAGGCTTTGGTTTAGGACGACAAACATGTGAGCCAAGCGGTCAGTTTAATTTGGTCGAACCTCCCTCATACCGGATGGTTGAAAATTGTAGATTGTCCTGTACGTTCGCACCTTTCTCTGGAAAATAAGGCCGGATGAACCGAACTTCCAGGTGTGTTCGTTTTGAGTGGGGAAGGCTTCTGCAGGTGATCGTCCACCGGCCGAAGGCGACATCGGTGTTCGTCCACCTTGGTGCCACGAACAAAACAGCCATCCACAGCTATGAAGCGAAATCTATATAGGATTGCCAGGTGACAGAAATACAAACCCTGGCAGGTTTGGGGGGGGCAACTTCAGCCACCCCCGAAAGGAAAAGCACCAGCGATCCTGTCTGGAAGCAGATGAAACGCGGAGAATGTGGTCCTCCCTATTATCGTACTTGGTGTTTGGGAAAAGCTCTGGCATCAGTCACGGCTGCCTCCCCTTCATTCAAAATACTACTATCGGAGGGCGGAGAGCCAAAATATGTCAGTGGTACAAAATGTTTTAGCTGTCCAAGGAATCCAATCTTTAGCTCCATGTCATGGAAATTATTGCTGGATTTGACCAGCAACACATGAAAATCAACTCTCCAGGTGAGGTCGTTCTAGCATGATCAAATCAATCATCTTGACCGTAGATCCTCGTGGTGTGACACTCCTCGTAGCTCAACAACCAGTTCCGTGCGGAGAGGGGGGGATGATGGATAAGTCTCCCTGGCCAGGTTGACAATTTTTGGGGAAACCTCTGAGCACGGACACGTCCTCCTCTGTCGCCAAGAGGCAAAGGACTTCTGTACTGCGAGCTCGGTCGCCTGGAGCTACCAGCTCGGGGCGCTTGGAGCTACTAGCTCGTCTGTTTGGGATGCTCTGGGTTTCCGAGGCGGTTCTGAGGGGGGGGTGAAGAGGTGGAGAGGAGGAAAGACCGAAGGCCTGATTATGTACTGAGTTTCTGAGCATCTCTGAGCTATTCCAAATCAGTTCACCCCGGCAACCAAGACGAAGTTGTTCAGTGATGGGCTGGGCGTAGAACTGGAGTTGCAACACGAGAGTTCTACTCGTGATCTGTCTGTGCTGTAAACAGTTCTTCCACCGTTGAGTCGGCTGCCCTACTTGGAGTGCTTCCAGCCCCAATTCAAAGTAAACCTACACAAAACCAGATGAAGCCCGAGGGGTGCGTATGGTGGATTGGATGTGTCCGCAAGAGAGGAAGCCCCAAACCAAAGTAGGTTGACAATGATGGCAGTTGGTTGTGTTGATGTACCACGGGTCAGGTGAATCTGCATCGATTCAAAATTTTCCCACTGAGATCACAACAATGCTGCAAGTTGGCCATCCAGTAGCCATCCAGCTCGGTGTTGATCACCAGCAATGGACCGCTGGTCAGAGAAGGGTCAGCACCACTGGGTGATCCTTGTTGAAACTCAATGTTCGTTGGTGGAGTTGGTGGCCCCTTGTAGAAAACACGGTCTACAGGCATTCTGCTTCAACCATATGAACTGCCCACACGTTCTCTCATCATGTAGCAACAAATGAAACAGTTGGGCCCCACATGGGATGGCTCGACCTCTCTCAGGACCTGAGGAATGGATTTTCCAAAGGCTTTCGTCCGCCGTTCATTCACGCCTCCAGGAGCGCCTCTCGCAGCTCTTGCGTCGCCAGGTGCATGGCCTGGTGTCGGGTTGAGAGTGGCTTCACCGGCTTCACCTGACTTTTATCGAAAAGCCACTGCTCAAGAAATTGGGTTCTCTAGAACCGAGTTTTGAGAAGTGACTCTTGCCCAGAAAATGGTACAGTGTACAGTGTTTTCGAACTCCATGGAAGAGAAAAAGGTAGACTAAGACCCGGGCCATGGAAGAAGTCTTCCTATTTTCACACAAACCCAAGTGGGTCCAGCTCATCAGCGTGGATTGGGCTGGGGCTGTAGCCAGATTCGTGACCCACATAGCATGGGGCCATGAATGGGGCAATGAATGAACATCATAACATGGGGCCATGAATGCATGACATCTGGAGTTTCGGAGGAAAACCGGAACCCACGAAACGCCCTCCCCACTCCGTCACCGGTCGGACCAGCTGACGGGTAGGTAGCCAGAGGTGCGGACGCCCCGATGGCGCCCCCCCCTATGAATGGACCGATCGGTGTCCACCAACAACGGTCAATGTGCTGCTCCGTGTCGACCCACGAGCTCCGCCCAAAGAGAGAAAAGTCGGTGGGGTTCAAGCCGCAGGATCCTAGGACCCGACCAATTCGCAGGGGGTTCAAGCCTCTATGTACCCTGAAAAGCCGAAATTTGGAGGGTCCGGTCCAAATCCTTAGGGCTCCTGCACCAGCGCGATGTTGTGGCTCTGCACGGCAAATGGTCTCCCGGGATTTACAGGATGAACTCATGTTTTCACATGTTTTCACTGAAAAAAACGATGATTGCCTTTCTGCCTTTGTTCCATCCACCATGTGGACGCCCAAAACATCGCCAGGAAGGATCTCCACGTGGATTCGCCTGGGTCGGGACCCGAAGTGCTCCCTGAGCGTTGTCGTCCAAAAGCGGCAGAAGCGGTGCCTGGTGCTCATCGACTACCCAGTGGATGGGATTGGGTGGTTGAAATCAAACCACCCAGTGGTTTTTTTCTCCCAAGAACCAGGCATCTGAATTGGGTGCTAAAAATGTGGACGGTTGCTCAACAAAAAAAATGAGACTCTACCTAGTAGATGGTCGAATGTGTCCAAGCGAGGGGAAGTGGTTCGTCAGCCGTCAACAATAAAAGACGGTTCACTGGCCTTGGGCTTCTTTCCCAAGTCCACAGACATCTTTCGGATGCAGAGCCTGTGTTTGAGGAGTACATCTCATAGACTTCCACGTTTTTGGGGTTTCTAAGTTGTGAGTGAAAGGTAAACTGACGAACCCATAAATTGACCATCCATCACATGGAAGACTTGTCTGGTTTCAACTTGCTCTCCTGCTTTTCCCTCATTGAAGATCTACAAGCGACGTTAAGAGGGCATCTGCCTGCAATACTTTGAACATCTTTGACCGAAAAAACCGTGTGCAATTGGCCCTCCAGGCCATCTGCAGACCGGCACGTTGCCAGGCAGCTGCCATCCGTATTAGACAACCCACTGCGTTCAACCACGTGGAGCAGAAAACCGGTGTCTGAATCATCGGTTACATGGATGGCACCAGCGGTTTGGTCTTCGTCCTCCGATTGCTCGGGACGAGCCAAAGGGACGGCCCAGGATCATTCAAAGGGATGTCATCCAAGTTCGGAGCCCATAGAGGCGTCATGTTTCGCTACATGATGAGATCTTCCTTTTTTGGGGAGGGAAGGAGGGAGGGCCATAGACAAAAGGCATCAATGTGGCATCGAAGATCCAGGTCTCTAAAGAATCCACTTCGGATCCTTTCCTCCTCCCACGCTCGCGGCTGCCCGGTCGGCCGTCTCCTCCGTCCTCCTCGCCTCTTTTAAGGCCACCGGCCGTGAAGCTTGGGGCTGCTCCACCGGCTCGTCTCGCCTCGCACGAGGAGTCGGACGGCAACAGACCGGCCGGAATGAGTGAAGCGGACCGTTGTCCCCGGAAATTGGGGGGCAGAACGAACCTTGATTTCCCAGATGGGCTGCAAAGAGATCTCCAAAAATGAGAACGTGGTGGAGGCACAGCCTCTGCAACATTTGACAATGCCCGAAAAGGTGGCGGCTCTTTTTGCTGGAGTCATCCTCGCTTGCAATTCCAAAAAGAACAACATCCGGGCCGGAAAAGGATGACCTCGGTTAGGGGTATCCACATCCATCAGGTATGAACACACGCCGATCTCTAGGGCATCGGAACACATGCGGGATGCGGGATGCCAGTCAACCACTCCATCAGATTCTGGGACTATTATGGCGAGACGAGAAAAAAATGGATCTTTAGAGGATCTTGATTGAACCAGGCTCTAGGTCGGGGTTTTCTGCTGGGTCTTCTCTCCTTTTGAACCGTACCTAGCTATGGAAGTGCATCTGAAGCAAACATCTCAGCGGTCATCTCCCAGCCTCTCCCTTCGCTGATCATGCTCATAAGCCTGCCTGAGAACACGTCAATGAAACCAGTT